AAAAAAAAAAAAAAAAAAAACAAACGTGTCAGATTAGTGCATATTGACTCACACTCAACACACTGCTGGTGATGCTGGTGATCCTGGCCTTGATTTAAGAGATGTTGGGCTGCTTCAACAGGACAGAATCAGTCTCTGAGGAATGGGGAAAACATGAGGTACTGGATGAGACTGGGGTTTGAATCCCAGATCTTCCATTCACGGTTTATAGAAGGTTTGGTACATATTAAGTACCATAAAAATATCCAGTTCCCTTCTGCTCCCAAATGTCACTGATGGACTCACATGAGCCACTATGTCCCTTTAAGACAAAAACCAGATCTCTCTAGATGTCGTTTTTTTTTTTTTTTTTTTTTAAATAACTTCAAGACAATTGGCCTCTTCCTCCTTATTTATGAGTGAAATTGCATGGGCGACAGGAACTCGGGAAGTGAATAGGTCTAGAATAAGGAAGCCATTTATCCAGCTCCTGCTGGAAGCTTCATGAACGTGGCAATGACCTAGTCAGCATCCCAACAGTCAGCTGACAGTGGCAGCCGTGAGTGGATACTGCAAGCATCAGAAGGTGGTCACCATATAAAAAACTGTCACAGCTTTCCACAGCCTCTGCCAGAGACACCAAGAACACCACAGCAATGTTCCTGGCATTCCTTAGAATGAACCCCACCCCTCATGAGGCCCTTGCCTACCCTTTGCTTCTACAGTGTGAATGTGTGAATAAATGGCTATCATTTTTGTTCCTCATACAGCAGGAACATGCCCATCTTCCTCTGCTACGGTGCCTTTGCATAAAGCAATCCTCAGAGTAACTGTTACTGCTCTATTGGCGGCATGAACCTGGGAGAGAGGAGCCTAAAGAGGAGGCGGGCTAAAGTCTCATGCAATAGCCAGCTTTATTCAGAGCATCAGACACTTCACATTCTGAGGGTGTTCTAAGGGTTAGACAAAGTCTTAAGGAGCAAAGTTCACCTGAGTTCAAGCGGCATGCAGTCACAAGAGAAGGTCACGTGAGTTCAGGCTGTATACAGTTATTGAGGACGACTCGTGCTTGCAAACATCATTCTAGATAATCATGGGTCAGATGAGTGATCTAAAGTACATCTATTCCTATTACACCTGGGGGGTTGGGTAGGCACACAGAAGCACATTCCAAGAACAACCCATGTTATGGAAAAAACAGATGACAAGACTTTTGCTTTGTTTCCTTGGAGTTATCTTACAGGTTCTCAAAAATTCTCCTCACACAGTTTCATTCATGGACCGTGTTCCAACAGTAACTACTTTTCCAAAACGTTAGAGATTTGTTCCAAACTACACAGCGGAAGTCTTCTGTAAACTCTTTTTGCATGAGTTTTAAAAAAATATATAGCTGTTTCAGTGAGGATGAATAAATGGCTGGCTAGCTCATGTCTTGTCATGAATCGGGCCTGTCATTTAATTTTTACCATAAAATTTTAGCTAATCTGTAAAGTTTTATTTTCAAGCTAGACATCAATGCTTTAGAAAATGAAGCTGTTACACATTATAAGAAAGTACAGCCAACCAGGAAGGAGGATATAGACCCTTTCTCATTTGCATGTTAAACAATTCTCCAGGTTCTTCCTGAAGAGACAGGAAGTTGATGTTGAGAGAAAGAGCCGAGCCAAGGATACGGAAAGGAAAGGCCAGCCTTGAAGGACAAGAAAGAATGAGTTACAAAACATTTTTTATGCAATAAAAACTTTAAGGCGCAGCTATATTGTATTTGGAAAATATCCCCAGGTTTTACTTTTAATAACAACAGTAATTTCTGGTAACAATAACCCTCACATATAGGGGAAAAAACAGACCCCTTCAGTAATGCATTAATGCAACAGAGAATCCAGAAGCATCTATATATATTGAACCTCTACAACCATGAGGAGAGGCACCCCATACACACAACCATTAGACAGTGTTACACTGCTGTGAAGAGTCACCGTGATCAAGGCAACTTTTACAAAAGGAAGCATTAAATTGGGGCTTCTGTACAGCTTCAGAGGTTCAGTCCATTGTCATCATGGCAGGGAGCATGGTGGCATGCAAGCAGACATGGTGCTGGAGAAGGAGCTGAGAATGCTACGCCTGGATGGGCAGGCAGCAGGAAAAGAAAGAGACTGGGCTGGGCTGGGCTTTTGAAACCTCAACGCCCACAGCCAATGACACACTTCCTCCAAAAAGGCCACACTTACTCCAACAAAGCCACACCTCCTAATCCTTCTCAAGAAGTGCCATCCCCTGATGACTAAGCATTCAAATATATGAGCCTATGGGGCCACTCTTTTTCAAACCACCACAACGACATTTAAAGCAATTCCAATTGTTATATTTATTTGTTTTACCATAAGACAGGATAAGTGATAGGTAAACGACAGAACCCCGTGCTAGTTTTGGAGCTTTATTAGGAGGGAAGGCAGGTGAGAAAGAGAGGAGAGCCAGGCCTGGGGAGAGGGAGAGATGTCGGAAGCAGAGCATGGAGCAGGGAGCAGAGAGGGAACAGAGAGAGAGCAGAGAGAGAGGGTGGGGGTCTGCATCCGGCTTTTTAAGGCGCAGATTACATGACCATGTAGTCGCCAGCGCCCCCTGATGACGTAAGATGCAAGATCCCAATCTTCACATGTACAGGATCTTAACAATAAGGACTTGTCATACCCAGATCCAGTTTGTTACCCTTGAACAAGTATTGTGAATAAATTATGTAGAGGAGGAAATATGGTTTTTTTTCTACCCTAAAGGAAAATGTAACAGTCAACCCTTATCCAAAGTTCCGGTTACCCACAGTTAATAAACTTTATAATTCCTAAGTTTTCAATTGCATGCAGCTCTGAGTAGCAGAGTGAAATTGCCTCATCCTGTCAGGGATGTGAATGATCTCAATGTCCAGTGTATCCACACTGCATATGCCACTCCCACATAAATCATTTAGTCCTGTGTAGGTTATCAGATCAATTGGTGAGGTAATCTTTATTTTAATGACCAATGGCTTTAAAGTATTAGAGTGAACTTTATTTGAGTATGTTAATTGCTCCATTTTGTTAGTGTTGTTGTTAATCCCTCATTGCGTTAATTTATAAATTAAACTATCATAGACATATAGGAAAAACACATAGTATGTATACTATATATAGGGTCTAGCACTATCATGGTTTTAGGCATTGGCTGGGTGTCTTAGTCAGTGTTCTATTGCTATGAAGAGATACCAGGACCAAGGCAACTCTTATATAAAAACATTTAATTGGGAGCTTGTTTATAGTTTCAGGGGCTTAGTATATTATCATCATGATAGGGAGCATGATAGCAAGCAGGCAGGTGCTAGAGAAATAGCTAAGAGTAAAATCCTGATCCACAGACCGAGAGAAAGACTCTGGGCTTAGCATGGGCTTTTCAAACCTCAAAGCCCACCCCACCCCCACCCCCTCACCACGCCGTGACACACTTCCTCCAACAAGGCCACACACACACACACACACCTCCTAATCCTTATATTCTCTTCAAACAGTTCCATTCCTGGTGGTTAAGCATCCAAATATGTGAGCCTATGAGGGCCATTCTTTTTTTTTTTTTTTTTTTTGGTTTTTCGAGACAGGGTTTCTCAGGGTTTCTCTGCGTAGCTTTGCGCCTTTCCTGGAGCTCACTTGGTAGCCCAGGCTGGCCTTGAACTCACAGAGATCCATCTGCCTCTGCCTCCAGAGTGCTGGGATTAAAGGCGTGTGCCACCACTACCCGGCTAAGGGCCATTCTTACTCAAACCACCAAGTGGGATTCTTGACACATACCCTTCACAGGTAAGAAAGGGCTGCCATGTTTGTGGAAGTCAATTTCTATCTTCCCTCAGGTCAGAACTAACAATAGTCCTGACCTCAGGCAGTTGAAATACTGGGACCACTTCTGTCAAAGCAGTTATGAAAACTGTTAGGGGCCCAAAACCACTTGACCACACAGCTGCCATGACAGTCTTATAGGCCCAGACACAGCTTCTGTGACCCAGGAAAAAAAAGCCATAAGCTGATCCTACCCAGGGAGGGCTGGCATCTAAGGGGAAGTACCTGGCATCCCACACATTCCAACTGTTAGATAAGGTGGCCAGGTGTCCCTGAGTCTAGCACACACCTATTTCTGTTTTACAGATACTCCTAGACAAATGTCAGCCAATCAGGGTCCTGAACCCTGGAAATCCCCTCACCCCAACCTCTGCTATGATAAAAACTCTATCCAGCCTGAGCTCAGGGCTCTCTGCTCTCACCACTGCTTTAGACAGACAGAAAGACTAAGCTTGGAGCTTTAAAATTAAGGCTCTTTGCTTTTACATATAGGATTGAGGCTCCGTGGTCTTTTGTGGGTCCCCACGATCTGGACATAACAAAAATACCAATTCTAAGACTACTTTCCCTTGTCATTGCCATTCATACCTCTTAGAAACTGGCTCTAAAGAAAACCTAAATTTATTAATTTAGGCTTATTAAAATAAGTAGATCACTCTGGGTGTCCAGTAGATTGTACAATGATTCCTCCAATCCTCCTCTTCACAGGCACCTTAGCAACTTGACTTTTTTAGCCAAATGAAACAATACCACAGTCCCTAAAATCTTAGGAGAAACTTCACATGTGACAAGTGCTCTTTTCTGTGATGAAAAAAGATTCATAATCTTTTTTTTATGATTCTCCAAGTGCCCTCATAAGTCTAATAAAAGAATAAAGAACAAGCAGCTCAAAATTTGACTTCTCATCCGGAAGGTGGCTTGACTCCACAGAAGACAGAGACCCTGGCTCTAGAAAGAAAGGAAACTACGTCTCTAGAATATATGAGTCTAAGAGTTTGGATCCCCGTCCTCACCTTTCCCGGGATATTTCTTAGAGTACAGAGAGGGGCGAGACTTGATTGCAAGGTACATACACTTAAGAGTGGTTCACACAGACTAAACGCAAAGTCCTCCCGTGTGCCTACCCCGTCGTGCTAATCCTTGGAGGCAGAGGTCAGTAAAATTACTTCCTCCAAGAAATAACACTGATCGGCTAAGTTTCCATGAGAAAAAGGCCTCGCCTCGCCTCACCTCACCCTGGCGCATCTGCAGAGCTTGAAGACCACCTATGAGAGCCGATCCCTAAGTGAGATGGGTGCTGACAAATACTGGAACGCCAGGGGCAGGAGCAATCCACCTCCGTGCTGTGCACCGTTACAAAGATCATTAGTCAAGTGTCAACAGTGCCACTCAGGAAGGAGACACGCCCTTGCCTGGAACACCGCAACCCACAAGTGCTACACGGGTAGGGTGGTCCTAGGGCTCCACCTAAGGTCAAATCCCAGACGCTAGAGCAGGTAGGGGAGGACAAAGGGGAACGCCATCGCCTGGTGTTCGCTTCCCGTTAAGGCTGAAAGCGCCGTGCAAGTCCATCCCACCGTGGAGGAGCTGCCTCCCGGCCTGGTCTGCCGGCTGCGGGGCAGGGTGAGGAGCCGCAACCCCAGCAGACGCTCGCCCACCAGCCCCGGCAGACCCCAGCGGATGCGCACCGTCCGGGTCACGGCGGTGACGGTGGCGCGGGGTCCGCCCGGCCCGCACTCTCTCACTCACCAGCTTGGTGGCCCGGTACGGCCCGGGGCCCACGATCCGGTGCTCCATTCCTAACCCGCAGCTGTCGCCGGGCAACGCCGGCGCGGACTCCGGAGCTCGCCGCGCCGCAGTTTGAATTGCCTGCCTGCAGGTTCCGGGCGCCGATTGGACAGTGCCGGGGCACGTGACAGGAACTGCGTGAGTGGGCGGGGCCGTGCGTGGCCTGGGTTGCTCAACTCTGGGTTTCGCCCTCCCGCAGCCGGACAGGGAAGATGCATCCTCCTCGCCAGTGGGCGCTCGGACACTCGCGGGCGTGACTGATCGCGCTGGGTATCGCCGGCCCGCCGTGGAAGGCGCTGGCCAAACCCTACCCCGACTTTCCCCGACGCGAGGCCCACTCGGCACACCAGCTCTGCTGCTCAGCCCAGTGAGTCAAGCCTACCTGGAACCTGGTAGATGATCCCCGTCAGCAGCACCCAGGGCAGAGAATCTGGGAGTTAGCTAAGAGAGGAAGAAGTGGGTGATGAAAGGAAGCAGGTTGACAGCTGTCCAAGTGGAGGAACTTTGAAAAACCAGATAAAGGCAATCCGCCATAAGGAGTCGTAGAGAGACTATCAGAGCGATAAGGAGGGCCCTGGTTGGCTTCTGTTCTGTGCTCTTGATAAACTGCAATCATCTTTTCCCCTCCTTGAACGTGATGTTTTCTAGTTAGCATCTGACTGATCTGGTCAGTCCTTTGTTTATGGGATTGATGAGTACGTTTTCTCTGCACTGAATCGCCTTCCAACCTCCAGCCCTCGGGAACTGGTCCGACTTGCAACTGTTCGAAGAGACAAATAACTTCACCAGTGTCTACACTCTATGCCTTTAATCAGTAACCACAGTTCAGACTAGGTCTGGATGCCTCGGTGAAGACCAGGACAAGAGCCTGCTGAGCAACCCGCTTGATCGTGGAAGCTGCTTTTTTGCAATCGACAGTGGTTAATTCAGACCCTCAAACTGGTGAAAGTGCTGAGATTAAGTAGCCCTGAGCATGGGATATTTCTATGAACATCCGCTCTCAGGGAACATGGCAGAAGAGGAGGCAGAATGTGTAGGAGCTGGTGGAGGATTGGGAGGAGTTCTGTGAAATGCTGTCTTCGGGACATGATATGGGTGTTCCACACATGAACTCACAGCAAGTTTGGTTACCTGTGCTAGACCTGCACACGATGGAGCCTGTCAACATTCCAGCAGGCCAGGGAGGGGCCACTAGCGAGGAGGTTATTGGAAGTTAATGGATGCTGAGAGATATCATCTATTTTCTTCCAGTAAATGACCCCACACCCATGCCCATGTAAGCAACCCTAATTAAACTCAGTGAATCATTAAAAAAAAATATTACAAAATAAAGCCTAGACATGCTCAGTGAAAATTTTATTTGAGGGCCTGAGGTGAGACAGCTTGCTAGTAAAGACATGGGCCACTAAGGCCAATGCCCTGAGTTTGATCCTGAGAGCCTACATGGTGGAAACAGAGAACTGACTCCCGCAAGCTGAGCTCTGCCCTCCACACAGGCTTTGATGACCTCTTCCCAAGAGCTGAGGATAAACACTTGTGCCATTATGTCTGACTCATAATTCTTGTATTTGTGAGACATGTTCCAGAGCTTCTTCAAAGCACTGATAATCAGATTTGATTAGATATGTAAATAGGAGAAACTCCATTTTATTACTAAGAAAGCTAAGCTTCAGAGGAGCCAGACAGCTTCCTTAGAATCCATTGTCTAATAATTAATAGAAAGTGGACCTACACCTGTGCTCTCTATTACCATAGTCTGTGTAGAGTTTGATTTCATTTGGCAATTTGGTTTGGTTTTACTAATACCTTCAAAAATCAAAATGGACAGTCAAAATAAAATCTAACACATATTTATTTATACAAAGACATTTCAGGAACCTGTCATCAATGGACCCAATAATCTTTACCAGGCTCAAGTTTTATAAAAGAAAAGCACACAGTTGAATAACTAAAAATGATCAAAATCAATGTCTTTAATTATCTTTCAGCCCCACCCCATTATAATTTGGGTTGAACTGGGGCTCACTGAATATATAGTGTATATTTAATGACATTACTGCCTCCCTACGTGTAACTCCCAGTGACACTTATATCTCAGTTAGATCACTGCATCTTTTTCTACATCCTGAGTAAAACAATTTTAATACCTTGCTGTGCGTTCTCTTCTGTGGCACACTCAAGTCCGAGGCCGTTGAGATGCTGTAGAAGCTGACTCCGTGTGCAAACATCTTCACGGGATGCATGTTATCTCACGGAGAACTGACTGTTTCACTGCTTTGCCACTGGCAGTAGGAAGTTGCAAGCTGGGCAGCAGAAAGAAGTTTGCCTCAAGTATACTGTGTGCGGGAGGTTGTGATTCTCAATCACTCTGACCAGGGAGTGGCTGAGCTCTGCCTTGCCACCCAGAGGGTTCCTGGATATCACATTCAGTACAGCTCCTGCACAAGTCACTCACGGCCCAAGTCACTCACTGACCACAAGTCACTCGTTGCTTACATGAGACTTCAGCTCTTCATGATGCCCCTCAATGTCCATTCAGTATTTGTTTGTTTTAAATTAGCATTTCAGCCATCAATAATATCCACGTGTAGGAGCTAGAGAGATAGCTTAGTGGTTAAGATTGCTTCCTGCTCTTCCAAAGGACCAGAGCTCAGCTCCCAGCACCCATATTGGGTAGCTTACAACTGCCTGTAGCTCCAGCTCCAAGGAATATGACTCCCCCTTTTGGCCACTGCAGGCACATGCACTTAGGTGTATACACACACACACACACACACACACACACATGCAAACACACATATATACATACACATATGCAAACACTTCATTTGAAAATAAAGTAACTCAAAAATTGTCCATTTGCTGAGATTCTTCAGTTAAAAGCCTGGCTTTCTCTGCACTGCTGTTATTCTGTACCGCCACTTCCCCATCGGAAAGTGTTTCTCCAGAGCATGCATTAATGTTATTCACAAATACGAGTTGCAGGTGAAGAAGAAAGGGTAAAGATGTGTGAAAAATATTTTTAAACTATATCATTTCATTGTGATTATTTAAACTACTAAGTAGAATTATCTCAGCATTTTAAAAAAAAATGAATGTTCACACACACACAAAAAAAAAGGATGATCACTCAGTGATTCAGCAAGTATGCAGGTATACCTACTATGTACAAGATACGGGTCCAGTTACTAGAATACAGCAATAGTTCATGCAAATTCCCTCTTACCTACAGTAGACATCCTAAGTAAGAAGGGATGCGGAACTAAATATAATATGAATACAGAAAGAGAGAGAGAGAGCGCTTGTGGTGATTGAGTGTGGGGAAGAAAAGCAGAGCCATGAGGGAGAAGATGGTGCGGAGAGATGCTCTTTTTGTCCAGTGGCCAGAGAAGACACGACTGACCAAGGGACATGTGAGTAGGCAATGTGACCGAAGTCAGGGAGGTGTGTGTGGAACAACCTTCAAAGCCAGGAAAATGAGCAGACCCCATGAAAGCCTGAGATAGGTTCCTGCCTACCTTAGCCAGGGTGCACAAGGAGCTGGACACTGGAGGCAGGCAGACGGGGGAGGAGAAGAGATCAGATACAGGGCACAGAAAGGCCTTGGGGTCACATTATAGTCCGTGGGATTAAAATCTCGTCCTAGCCAGGTGGTGGTGGCGCACATCTTTAATCCCAGCACTCGGGAGGCAGAAGCAGGTGGATCTCTGTGAGTTCAAGGCCAGCCTGGTCTACAGAGAGAGAACCAGGAAAGGCACACAGAGAAACCCTGTCTCGAAAAACAAAAAAAAAAAAAAAAAAAAAAATTGTTCTAATTTAATTAAAAGCATATTACAAGTTTTTGATCAGGCCAGGGCCAAGATCTGGAATATTTTTCAGTGCCACTCTGGCTACTGTGCCAACAATGATTGGCCAGGGGAGGCACGGAGCACAAGGGTGGAAACAGGTAAACGAGCGAGGAACCTGTCGCAAGAGCTCAACAGATAAGACAAGTGATCATCCTGGTGAAATTGGCACACAGTGACACCCAACTATGAGTAGCTGCTGAAGGAGTGAACAAATAAGCACATGAAACGGAGCTCCAGACTGGTTTCAATTTCTCAGATTCCCAAAATGGCTCAGTCAAGTTTACGGGCTTGCGCTAAGTCTACAGGACCTGAGTTCGATCCCCAGGACCGACACCTACATGGTGGGAAGAGAAAGCGGACTCCTGAAAGTTGTCCTCTGTCAACAACACACATTCCTACACACACACACAATCAATCAATCATTCAATCAATCGACCAATCTAATTTAAAATGTTTAATTATTCAGTTCTATTCTATGTGTAGGGTTCATGCCTGTAATCTCAGCACTGAGGAGGCAGAACCAGGAGGATCAGGAATTCAAAGCCAGCTTGGAATACACAATGATACGGTCTCGACTTTTTTTTATTCATTTCTTGGGACTGGAGAGATGGCTCCGCAGCTAAAAGCGCTTGCTGCTCTTGCAGGGGACCCAGGTTCAGTCTCCAGCACCCACACAAAGGCTTACCACCATCCGTAACTCCTGTCCCAGGTTATCCAGCACCCTCTTCTGGTCTCCTCAGGTCCAAAGGGTGCATGCAGTGCACTTACATAAATGTACATAACACACTAACACATAAAACCATAAATACTTACAAAACTATTCATTTCTTAAAGAAAAATTTGATTGACTCTATAGTTGCCATTTCTTATGTAAATTTATTCTATAAAATGACCTTTTATATTTTCATATAATCTATCAAATTTGTTTCTGAATCTGCTCCCCTGCTACTTTTTTAAATAATTTATTTGACTTTATTTTTTGTGCATTGGTGTGAGAGTGTCAGATCTCCTGGAACTGGAGTTACAGACAGTTGTGAGCTGCCATGTGGTTGCTGGGAATTGAACCCTGGTCCTCTGGTCCTCTGGAAGAGCAGCCAGTGCTCTTAACCACTGAGCCACCTCTCCCGCCTCTTCTGCTACTTTTTAATCATTAAAGTTATCTGTACTTCCTTTTGAGTTTGGAAAGTGTAATCCACACATGTCTGGTGCCCCTTCACCTGCTGGCACCTCATACTTCCCGAACT